TATTTCAGACCTGTACATCATTGTGCTAATTTTAGGGTGCACCTTTTAAAAGGTTTAAACCTTCAATTTTGGTACTGAAAATATATATTTTCGTTTTCTTTTGACAGCAAGTAAATCCAGGTATTTTGTTTGGACGGAAGACCATGATGTCTTGATGCTTCGCGAAGCTGTCACGAGCGAACCTTACAATTTTAAACCGAAAAGCAGCGAGAGAGGGAAAGTATGGGAAAGCATCGCAGCCCATTTGAATTCTCTGAAGACTACAGAGTTCAGGGTTACAGCGAGGGCAGTGAGAGATCGATATGCACTCCTCATCTCCCGGCACAAACTGAAGCAAAGAGAAGAAGAGAAAGCATCTGGGATCGATGTCCCCGAGCCCACAGAGCTCGATATCTTGCTGGAGGAGATTCGGGAGCGAGAGAAGAGCGCAGAAGAAAAGAGTGACGCCCTGAGAAACGAGAAGAAGGCAAAAGATGAGAAAGAAAAAGCTGCAGCAGAGGAAATCAGGCAGGCGGCCCTACAGACAATGGCAAAAAGAAAGAGCGATGATAGTGGCGAGAAACCAAAAAAAGCTAAATTGAAGAGGAGCACCTCTAATGCAATCGAATTTTTGGCCGAGAAGTCAGAGAAGGAGAGAGAATTGAAGAAGGAAGAGTTAGCCATCAAAAAAAAGAGAGCTTGATCTAGCGGAAACCAGACAAAACGAGGCTGCGCAGCAGCAACAGACCACGTTCTCAGCGCTGATGAACCAGATGCAGCAACAGCAGCAGCTTCAACAGCAAAACCTTCAAATTATGCTTGACCAGCAAAACAAGGTATTTATGGCATTGCTGGAAAATACCAAAAAGCATTAAGCTCGAACCTAGTGAATGTGGAAGAGCCCTGAACTTGTTGAGTTGACTTTTGTTGTGACTTTAGTTATCTACCACGTGTCCTGTCATTTACCTGATTCAATAAAGGTTGCTTTAGGAGTATGTCCATTGGAAATATTAAATGCTTAGCTTGAGTGAGCACCGGACAATGGGCGAGTTACTATTTCTCTTTTAATTCATTGAATTAGGTATAGCTACACACAACATGTTAAGCTACCATAGCTCCTTGATATTTGAATCAAAGCATTGTTTATGAATGTAATTATATTTCTTATCTAGAGAGTTTTGTGACTTTCAAGAAGAAATAAAAAATTGTTTTTGCTGATAGACAGATATTTTTCTGTACAAAGGGACCTAATTGCCTAAACTTTACCCTAATGTGCAGTCACTGAATGCACAAAATAAACCTTAAAAATAATATTTAAGGTCTATCCTTTTTTGTTTTGTTACCTGTGCTTTCATGTAATAAGCTCATAGTATTTCATACATTTAGCGATTGCAATCTAGAAATTGAGCCTACTTTGAGCATCATGAAGGCAAAATCTCAAGAGAAGCATGGGTATCTTCATTCAGGCGTGTGAGATTAAGGAAGCTTTCACCCAGTGTTAACTCTGAAAAAATTCATTAAGTCACCATGGTAATTATCCCTGGGTTAGTGCTAGCCCAACCCCAAACAAACAGGCCCTTAGGCTCCTATATTTATAACTTGTTTGATAAAGGAATTCCAAAAAAATATGGCCTGACTCTGCAGTGTTGTGCTTAAATTTATCTCCATTCATTTTCTCTTTCAAAAAGTACAATGGTGTGAGAAATAGTCTTTAACCTATTAGCATACAAATATCTACCATGGTTAACTGAAGTTATAAGGTTTTGATACATACTTTATCAAAGGCAATGTAAAGTGGGCAATAGTGTGGTTTCCTAGCCAAAGTATGTGTCAAGAGTAGGTGGCCTAAGGTCAAAAATTTCCGATGTCATGTTACCATACAAGCATGTCATTGCATTACGCAGTAAGACAGAAACAACATAGATCTTTCCAACACTGCTGAGGAAAAGCTTCAGATCTTTTTTAAAGTCATTAAACTTAAATGAATTGATTACATCTCCGAACAGCCATTCGACAGAACTTCTAACAGCACTCATCTCTGAATTGTACTGCTCCATTTGTGGTGTCAATACACCATATCTAAAGGGTCCTTGCATCTGCACTCTAAGGGGATAGGCAGGGTCTCCATAAACACAGACGGCCTGACCAGCTGGATTGTAAGCAAATCGATGAAGGTCGTGTAGTAGCTGTGAATCAGCAAGCATTCCTGCATCATGTTTTCTTCCTTCTAAAAATAGGTAGGTTATAGTAGGTATCAGTGTAAGAGTAAAGGTTGCTGATAATTGGGTTACATGAGTTGTTGATTATATGAGTACATAAGTATCATGAGATTATTACATTTTTATTTCAAAGAGGGGGGAGGGACAGTCCCCTCTTCCTTCTGGCTATGCTCCCAATAAATTGCTGAAGGGATCTCAACTTGTGATCATTATTGAATAAGAAAATCAATAAATTTATTCTGTCTTATAACCCTGCTATGTTTCAGTTTTTATCGAATCTTTTCCCTTTTTTAAAGTAAGTG